GCTGTCCTCTTCACCCAAGGCCTTCCAGGGCCACAGTCCTCCCGCCCTCCTTCCTCTCTCTGTCGCTAATGTGAGGTTTCTTTGTGCACACTAAAGTCTAATTTCACATCAGCGGTTCAGATGATTTCCTGCAGTCCCTGTCTTGAGGTCCCGTGCTCAGCGTCCAGTTTGCTGAATACTCACCTCGGACAGTCATGTGACTGGGGCTTGGGCCCTGCTGCCCTGCAGCAGAGGGCTGTGTGTAAATCTCCAAGGAGGACCAGTTGTTCCTGTGGCCCTAGAAACCCCCTGCAGCCAGGATGGGAAGCATGTATTTGGACCCAGTCTGGGACCACTCCTCACTCTCCCTCACCCCTTGGGAAGGATCCCCAGAGTGAGACAGTGGATCAAAGCTGTACTTACACTTAGTTCAGTTTACTCTTGAGCTCTGAAATCAACTCCCCAGACTTAGGGCCATGCCTGATACTGGTTTTGCTTCCCTCAGCCTTACCCGAGGTGAGTTTTGTGGGTGCTGATCCCTAACAGGATGCTGGATGTCTTAAACCTGTTCCCCTTGAGAATCAAGTGGTTCTTCCATACCCCCAGGACACCCCTGGGTGTCTGTTTTCTCCCTCTCTCCACTCCTCCAATCGTGAGAATCCATTTCTAGTCTCTTGCCCCTCCTGACTCCTCCCGGGTTGGGATGGGGTTTTGCAGGGGCCACAGAAGTAGACAGGAAGCAAAGGATGACCCCTGCCCAACTAGTCTGTGCCTACTCCTCAGTTCAGCCCTAATGTCTACCAGTGGAGCGTCACCATGGCGGGTGCTTAGATTTTCTCTGCTGACGTGTCTCTCTCCTTTGCTCTTTCAAGCAACTGAGGTCAGGGGAAGGTGGGCTAATTAGGAGAGAGGTTCCCCCAAAATAAAGGACCTTCAGAGCAACTAGCTCAATTTGTAGACCCATAGTGTACCCCATCACTTCTTGGGCCTGATTAAGACACAGTGCCTCCCTCTCTGGGACCCCAGAATGCTAGGAGCTAGGGGGCATCTATAATTCAGAGGACTGGGTACCATGCAGGACGCCTCCCTACCTTGCAGTCTTTGCCAAGTGAGAGGTGGAAGAAATCCTCTGCCAGGGTCACTTGGCTGCCCAGGTGACTTGACTGAGTTCTAGTTTCTGTTCCTGGCCACATCACAGGTCCCCTTGGCCGAGGTACCACTGAGGCCCCAGGGGCATTAGGTAGGCCTGAGATACTCCGATAAAAGAGCCAGCCTCCTGCACCCTCCCTCAGGGCTGCCTGCTTCTGACACTGCTCATCCTGGCAGTTAATCCACAACCATTCAGTTTGCTCTGGAAACCTGGAAATCACCTTTGTAATTTCCCTTCTTTGTTTCACTGCCAAGGGCAGAGAAGGAGTTGGGAGGTCTAAGGGGTTGAACTGGGGAGTTTCCAGGTCTCTCTGTGGCTCTGAGAAAGGGATGGAGCTGTCCTTTAGCAGAGACGTCTGGAGCCCTGCTCCCCAGTCCTGGTTCTCTTGCACTGCCCCAAACACACTCATCCCCCAGAGAGAAATAGACACCAAGGAGAGAAGAGGTGTTGGTGACGACTCAGTCCCTCCAGAGACCTAGCTGTAACCTGAGCAGAGGTGTGCAGTTTGAGGTCACCCAAGGGCGTATACCATCCCCTGGGATGTGTAATGGGCCCTCTCTGGAACTGGCCAGGAGCAGACCAGATCTTCTATAACTAGTCTGGGACCAGTTAGAAACTCAGCCTGCTCTAGACCAAGAATTCCACAGTGGTACTGAAACGGGCACCACTTGCCCTTTCCCGATAGAGCCCCTGGGGAAAGGCTGAGGGATATCCTGACTGAAGCCTCTGGAAAAGCAGCATCCGGGGCTGTGATGACGGATGTTTTCCTGCTTCCTTTTGGTGATGGTGGCAGGGAGGGGCTGGGAAGGGAAAGGCTTCCCAGGTGGGTGGCTTTGATAACTCTCCTTCAGGAGGAAGTAGAGAGGAAGTCCTTTTCCTATGTCCCTACTGACCTCAGCCCCTATGCCCTCAGATCCCTGAAGGGTGGCTGACCCAGGCTTTCTCATTTCCCCCTGTGGGTTGAGAGCAGCCCCAGGCTTCCCGGGAAGTAGCCAGGCAGTGTTGAGCGGAGAACCCCTGTGTGAAGCCTGGCCCCTCCTGTCACAAAGCTGTCTCAGAAGAGCTAGGGGGTAAGGAGCCTAAATGAGGGCTACTATGGCACAGGACCCATGTGTGGGGGAGAGAGGAGCTTTGTTTTTCAGGTATGACTCCTGGGCCCACCCCTGGGGCCAGCCTCAGCTGCCAGTGCATCCTGAGCAAACCTCAGAAGGCGTTTAGTGCCTCTGTCTTTCTTTGACGTGGCCTCAGCAGCTGAGTTACAGGGGGCAAGTAGGAGTGTCAGAGTTTGAGGCTGAGGGTGGGCACCCTCCACAGAATATGCCAGACAGACCCCAAGGAGATTGATAGATACAAGAGCCTTTCTTTTTTTTGCTTTGGTGTAAATTTTCTCTTAATTTAAGAACCAGAAATCCTCATTTTTGACTAGTTGTGCTTATATTAAGTATGAATCATGAGCAAGTAGTCATGCAGGAAACTATCCCCTGCTCACCCCCCCACGGAAAAGGCCAGTACTGGAAATGAACAGAGCCTAGACGGAAATGGGCGCAGGTGGGAAAGGGGTGTGGGGAGCTGCAGCCCTATCTTTGGGGAGCCTTTGGTAGGGACGGGCTCTTTGGAATGTGTTATTAGAACACAGAAGCCTACCTTGGGGTATGGAAGACTGTCCCTGCCACTGAAACCAAACCAGCTTTTGAAACTTTCCACTGGGGCTATGTTGCAGGTGGAGCCAGGAGCTCAAGTCTCTGCCTGGTAACCCTCACACCTAATGGGGGGGAGGGGCTGGAAGGTGAGGAAAAACAGCAGGAAATGGAGCATTTGGGAGCTAAAAGTTATCAGCACCCACTGTGACTTAGTGGAAAGATAGATTTTGAGTCCCAGGGCCTGATTGAACATTCTGACCTTGTTCATATCTATGTGACTTCAGGCAGGTCTGAGACTCATTTTATCTACGAAATGGGAAAAACAATACCTACTTTTACAAAAGCGGTCCTCAGGGTGGAGTGAAAGAAAATGTAGTGGAGGCAGGTCGCAAAGTCTACAGTACAGAACAAAGGTGAGGGGGTCTGCATATCTGGTCACCTCCACTTAAATAGACACTGGGCATGACTCTACTGGGGTCACACACTTCCCCTCCCTCCCTGTCTGCTGAGGCAGAAAGCCTACTGCCCAGCCCATGCTAATAGCTGGCTGGTTTGCTCCCTATCTCCAGCATCTCCACGGCCACACAGCTTTTTCTCTGGTGGAAAGGAGCCGGGAAATGTGGCTTTGGCTGGCGGGGAGAACGGGCCTTTATGTGCACCAGCAAAGACCCAGTTGTTACTGAATTCAAACTGAGCTGCCTCCCCAGTTATCTCCACTACTCTTCTGGTCTCTGCTCTTTAGATGCCAAGTTTTAACCCAGAACAAAAGCTTCTGTCTGGACTGATTTATAATCCAGATCTGCTGATGGGGCCCTAAAGTGTTCCAACCCCGCAGGGCTGCAGGTGGCTTAAAGCAACCACCCTAGCCTCTGG